GAAGAAAAGATCAGAGGAGATGGACAGGGGAGAGACTACAATCAATCTTAGATGCTAAGGATTCTTTTTGTTTTTTACAAATTGTTTCATTATTTAAAATTTTTGATGAAGCTGTCATACTTGTACATTTTGGGGGGTGCAGTGCAATACTTACCATGTGTGCAGAACATAAAGCAATCTAGCCAGGCACCCAGACTTCCCCTCCCCTCGTGTTTTCCTTGCCTTTGGAGTCTATCGGCTCCCCACCTGCAGCGCTGCATCCTGTGTGTGAAACGTTTTTGAGTTACTGTCACCCCACGGGCTGTCAAACAGAAAAACAGTAAGAATTCTGGATGATATAAAAATGCCGAAGGAATTTGCTTGTGTGAGAGCAGAGTATTTGGAAAGCCAATCCGATGAGGATTCAGTTTACACTCACCTTTCAAAAGATAGATTATGTATAGATAACGACCGTGATAAAAACAAACATGGGAAAATGCTAACACTCAGAGAATCTGGGTGAAGGGTAAATGGGAGTCCTTTGTAGTATTTCAGCAACTTTTCTGTAATCCCGAATTATGTAAAATATTGAAATGAAGAAGGTATTGGTGGTGAAGAAGGGATGCAGAGGGCACTGTGCACGGGAGGGAGGCACGGAGGCTCTGGCTCAGCCGAGGGGGAAGAAGCAGCGGAGACCTGGAGCACCACATGGACAAATGAGGCACTGGCTCCGAACAGACAGATGGTGCCAGGACACACGGACTCTTATTAAAAGCAGAAATGGCTACCAATCTGCAAGACTCAACCTACTCTCTTTGGCAAGTAAATTCAAATAACGGTTCTCCCTGTGAGCAGAAGAGAAAGCACTGGCTTGTGTTCCCGTGCGGGTGTTTCATCAAGGCCTCACGGTTCACAGCTGATGACCAGTCCTCGTGGGTGGCCCGACTTGAGAAGCGCACATCAGCTGAGCTGTTGTTCCTCTCCCTGGAACACGGCAGATGGAGGCTGATGCATACAACCAGCGGAACGGAAAAATGTAATTCTTGTTTGTGTTTGTGTCACTTAGTGCAGCCACCCAGACATGTTCCCAGTAGACTGCCCTTTGTACAGACTGAAGACCGGGAGCACAGGTGTGCATGCAGCCATTCTGCAAAATTACCTTCATCTGGGAGAGATGGGCATTCAAATGACTTCTGAAAACAAGAGGCTGCCATCCCTTTACCAGGAATCTTGCTATGACTAAATGCACTTATGTCATTTAACCCTTCCCATCTTCATACTCAACATCTTAGAAGCAACAGAACCAAGGTTCATAGTAAGGTAAGCATCGGCCCCAGGTCACACTAACTGCTGGCAGAGCCTGGATTTTTTTTTTTTTTTTTTTTTTTTTTTGGACAGGCAGAGTTAGACAGTGAGAGAGACAGACACAGAGAGAAAGGTCTTCCTTCCATTGGTTCATCCCCCAAGATGGCTGCTACGGCCAGCACTGTGCCAATCCAAAGCCAGGAGCCAGGTGTTTCTCCTGGTCTCCCATGCATGTACAGGGCCCAAGCACTTGGGCCATCCTCCACTGCACTCCTGGGCCACAGCAGAGAGCTGGACTGGAAGAGGAGCAACCGGGACAGAATCCGGCACCCCAACCGGGACTAGAACCCGGGGTGCCAGCACCACAGGTGGAGGATTAGCCAAGTGAGCCGTGGCGCAGGCCAAAGCCTAGATTTGAAGCTGGGGTTTCATGTCCTTGCTAATGATCCGTCACACCTCCCCTTTCTTCCCTCCCAACAGTAAGAAGCACCTGGCTTAGCAAAGTACTACAGCTCATCTACAGAGAAAATTCCAAGGCTATACCCCTACCCTTGCAGAAACTGGCTCAAACTGGGTTAGCAGTTCCTTCTGAGCTGTAACCAGTCTGCTGGGGCTTTCCGGGGAAGTGCTTCTCCAGCCTTAGGAGTGTTTTCAGGAGCAAGCCTCTTCCCAGCCTGGGTCCTGATAAACAATCAGAAGGCAGGCCCAGTGGTTGCTGGCCAGTATCCTGGGACCCCAAGAATGACCTGCTGAGGATGCAAGGATGCTGGGCATGGCAGAATAGGACAGCTGTGTGCCTGGTGACTGCTTCACCCCACACGTGCTCAGAGCCTTTCTTGCTCTCCAAAGACTCCCCTGCAGTTACTGCTGATTCCCTCTCTCTGCCCTCTCAGTGCCTCCCTCCATTCTGCATAGTCCAAGCATGCCTGGGACTCTTTCACATCAGAACTTCCTTGATTACACATTTGCTTCCAGCTCCAGCCCCTTTTCTCGTCTATCAAAACTTCCAGTCTATGTTCTCACCTTCCATCCACGTCAATGCATTCTCCTCCTGTCATCGTTACTGTCCTTGAACTGCTCTTGTCAAGGTTACCACCGCTCTTCATCTTGCCAATGCCAATAGATGCGTATGTGTCTCTGTTCTCGTGTCTCTTGACCTCCCGGCAGGACTTACGTTGCTTGGACACCTCCTTCTACTGAGAACAACTTCCTGTCTTGGCGTCCATGACTACACACACACACACACCTGCTCTTTCCCCTACCTCACTGGCTGCTGCTGCTTTCCTCCGACACACAGACCTCTCCTTCTCTACCGAATTTCTAAATGTGGGATTACAAAGGCTTAGCCTGGTGCCCCCTACTCTTCTCTGTTTACCTCTTTCTTTCCTCATTCAACACTCAATTTGCTTAATATTTAATGAAAGTCTACTATAAGCTAGACCCTGTTCTAGGCTCTGGAGCAACAGCAAGGAACCAGTGAACCAAGCCCCCAGCTTTACAAAGCATGCATTCTCATGGAGTAGAAAATGATCAAACTACAAAGTGTGTATAACATGATGCTAAGGAGAAAAAATAAAGCAGTCTAAGTGGATAGTGATGACGGGGCTGCTTTCAGACAAGGGCTCCCTGAGACTATGAGATTTATAGCCCAGTAAAGTGGAACGTGAGAGGGAGGAGCCAAGGATGACCAAGGTAACAGGAAGAATGTGTTAGATTAAAGAAGCCTGGAAGAAAAGAAACAGAGAGGGGAGCATCGGAAACTTCACTGGGGATGTACGAAGGCACCACAGGCAGGCGGGAAGCAGTCATTTCCTCCAATGAATGATTCCTCTTTCAGATCTCAGGGGGCCCTTCCAACACCATTCACTTCCACCCTCCCAGTTCACAAGTCTTCTTCTTTTAAGATTTACTTATTTATTTGAAAGTCAGAGTTACACAGAGAGAAGGAGAGAGAGAGAGAGAGAGAGAGGTCTTCCATCCATTGGTTCACTCCTCAATTGGCCACAACATCCAGAGCTCCACTGATCCCAAGCCGGGAGCCAGGAGCTTCTTCCAGGTTTCCCATGTGGGTGCAGGGGCCCAAGCACTTGGACCATCTCTGCTGCTTTCCCGGGCCATAGCAGAGAGCTGGATCGCAAGTAGAGCAGCCGGGACTAGAACCGGCACCCATATGGGATGCCGGCGCTTCAGGCCAGGGCTTTAACCCACTGCGTCATAGTGCCAGCCCCCCAGTCCACACAGTTTTAATCACCATCCCCAGCTTATTTCATGATAGTCATCAAAATCTGTAGTAAAGCTGGTTAATGTTTGTCTGTTCGCTTGTCTTCTTCACTGTTTCATCTGCTAGGTTTAGTGTTGCACCTCTCTGAGGGTGAGGGGTCCACAGTCAGCAGCTGGGTGAACTAAGGGGAGGTCAGTCTGAAGAACCTTAAAAATCAAACCAAGATGGAGTGACTTAAGCTAACACTATTAAAAACAAGAAGTCACCTTTGCCCCAAATAAAATTAAAGTTTAAAAATTATAGCCCTAAACTTTTTCCCCCAGAGCTAAAATTAGGTGCAGCTATAAAAATAAGGGACCCTATGCTTAGCTAGCTGCGACACTTGTGCCTGGCTGTGCTAAGACCTAACCCAGTTTGTATGCCTCCTAATACTCAAATAACAGTGTGGGAAGCGGGACGCCGCTCTCCCTCCAGGGGAACGAAGGGAGCAAGACGTCGTCCTCCTCAGGGTGAACAAGATGACGCTGACAGGGAAAGGAACTGCTGAAGTAAGCAACAAAATGGCGACGAGGTGCATGCCTCCCATGTGATCCCGTAGCTGATTGGATAGAAGACGCATGCCTTTCACATGATCAGCTCACGGATTGGACTGCTGTGTGCATGGACACTATAGTGCTTTTGATTGGTCGCTGCGGGTATATAAACCGTGTGGCTCTGTGCTGGGGGCGCTCTCTGGACTCCCGAGTTCAGGAGGCCCGTCTGCGCAGACGCCGAATAAATCCTCTTGCTTTTGCATCAGCTGGTCTGGACTCTGAGTCTTTGGGGTGTGCCTCTCGATGTGTTAGCATCCTCACTCAGAGGGTCTAACAAGTCCTCAGGGAACTCAGGACAGCTTGGTTCTTGCCTGAGCTCAGTGACACACACTGGCCACACAACTTTGGACAATTTGCCTCTGCAGTGTTTTCTCTATCGGCCCTTTCGCCTTTTTAAATACTATTTAAAGTCTGGGATTTGTATTTAGTCTGACCAGAACCTTGTTTCAGAAACAACCCTAGAGGGTTTTTTGCTCCAGAACGAGTGCTGATGATTATTTCTGGGGAAACTGACTCTCGGAACCCTGGAGGGCACCACATTCCCATTGCTAGCCCCTCTAACCCGTCAGTCTCTAGCAGCCAGCTATCCCGCCAGCCTCCACTGCAGAACCCGGAAAGCAAAGAGATGTTAATCCGTTTATTTCCTGGAACATTTAATTCCCAAGCACCAACTCAGGAACAGCGCCAGACTTTCCAGATTTGCTATCACACTGCACATGCATTCCAGAGCCAGCTGGTTTGTCAGACACATCTTCACTGTACCCTCTGGGGTAAATATGACGCTCCCCCCCACACACACACACACAAACCGCCGTCACCTCCTTCACCAATGAGGTAAACGAGGCTGGGGAGACCGGCTGACTAGCCCCAGTTCAGACTAAGGGCAGGTAGCAAAATGAGGATTCGACTTCCAATCTGTTTATTATTCTGTTGTGCTTTCCATTACAATTGTGGGTTCCTAGAGCCAGGGATAAACTCCTTGGGCCTAATCCGTTTCCAGTGGACTCAGGTCTTGTGTTAAATCAACAAATAAAAATGGGATGGGCTTTTGGCAAAGCAGGTAAGCTGCCACGTGGGATGCCTGTGTGTGTTCCATAGCAGAGGATGCAGATTCCATTTCTGATTCCAGCTCCTGCTAATGCACACACTGGGGGTAAGTATGTAACGGCTCAATGGCTGGGTCCCTGCCACCCACATGGGAGACCCGGATGGAATTCCCAGGCCTTTGAAATGTGGGGAGAAAAATGGCACAGAAACACCAACGTGGTAAGAAAGGCAGGTCAGGCTCCCCAGGGCTCCTGGAGAAGAATGAGGGAGACACCAGGAACTCCCTAGGGTCCCTAAGCCATCACCTGCTGGAAGACATTCCACAGGTTTTTGTTTTGCTGTTTCTTAGCAGTATTTTAATGGGGCATTCTCTTCCAAAAGAAATCCTTTGTCAAGAAGAAAGCTATTCTTCCCCGACCCAAATATCTTCATATGGAAGGAGTCTTATGTGTAGTGGGTGTGTAGTCCAAGGGGGCGTTAGCTGTGCCACGTCAGTGCATGGAAGCTGTGCATATGAAGCCTGGCATTGGGTGTGATTCCAAACGAATAACTTGCCTTTTTTCCCCCGTAAAAACCATTTACGACTGATATAAAAAAGCAGGCAGGTTTATTTCTCTGCTTCCGGTCCAGAGCCAATCCTTTCCACCTAAGGATACAAAAAGTTCCACCTCCACTACCAATTAACGATGGCAAAGGGGAACACCAAGTAACTAAAACGCCAATAAAGCAGCATCTTAGGTAGAAAAACGAATAAATAACGTTTCTTTTGTACACAGTGGCTGTCAGCGTCCGCGTGTCCGCCAGTCCTCCGGCGGGCAGAGAGCGTCCTCAGAGCAGCAGCAGCGAGCCCAGCGGCAGCTCGCCCTGGCCCAGCCGGCGGCCCCGCTCCAGGCCGCGGCCCTTGTTCTCGGCCTTGACCCGCACGGCCAGGCGGCGCACCTGCTCCTCCGTGAGGCCGTCGAAGCAGAAGTCCTGGTCCAGGGCGCCCTTGCGGCTGCGGCCCAGCACGGCGCGGCGCGGCTTGCGCGCGGAGCCCGGCGCCTGCAGGACCAGGCTGACGCGGCAGCAGACGGCGCGGGGCTCGGGGCCGCCCCCGGCCGGGCCCTCGGCGCGGAGCAACCGGACGCGGAGGCGCCCGCTGCCCGGACAGTACTCGGCGGCCAGGCGCAGCGCGCAGCCGGCGCGTCCCAGAGCCACGGTGCCCTCGGCCTCCAGGCGCTCGGGCCGCGGGCCCGGGGGCGGCGACGGGGACGCGGGGGCCGGGGCCCCGGGGTCGGCGCCGCGCTCCTCGTCCTCGTCCCCGCTGGAAACGGAGCGGGCGCGGTCCAGGCCGGGGCTCCCTCGGACCCGCAGCGCGCGGCTCAGCAGCCCGTCAGGGGCGCGCAGGAGGCAGCGGCCGCGGAGCCGCGGGGCGAGCGCCTTCTGGGGCGGGCGGTGGTCGTCGGGTTCGGTGGCGAGCGCCGCGCCCGCGACGCGCGGGCTGCGCAGGGGCCCGATGGGGAAGTCCGATACTGCGACCCCTCCACCGCCGGCTCCGTAGGTGTGAGCCCGGGGGCGGCGCGCGGCGGCGCGGTGTCCCCCGAGGAAGAGCGACTCCTTGCGGCGGATGTGCGGGCTCTCGAGCAGGGCGCAGAAGCCGTAAGCGGTGCGGGCGCGGGGCAGGTGCGGCAGCGAGAGCGCGGCCTGCGAGCGCGGGTCCCAGTCGGTGCGGCCGACACCCTCGTCGGCTGCGCAGGGCCACAGGTCCGGCTCGGCGGCACAGTGGCGGGGCACGGCGGCAGCCGAGGGCGGGGACTCGGGCGGGCTGGGCACGGACAGCCGCGGCGGGATGCAGAACTCGGGGATGCGGCCAGGGGTAAGCACGTTGGAGAACGCGGGCTCTGGGGCCGAGGCGCGGAGTTTCTCGAGGAGCCGCATCTTCGGAGGCTGGCGCCGGGCGTGGTGAGGAGAAAGGGTCCTGCAGGGGAGAGGCGTTGCTGAGCTTAGGGCCGGGAGCTGCCGGAGCTCCTCCCCCGACCCCTCTGAAAGCGCCGTTGTGTCAGCGACCCCAGCCCAGCCACAGCCTCTCACGCACCTGCACACCCGCCCTGCCTTCCACTTTGGAACCGAATAAAAGAACACACAGAAATCAGACCTTGCCTTCTCCTTCAGCGTCTCTGGATCTGGTCTCAAGCCCAGAGCTGGCAACCGTGGCGGTAGCTCCACTGCAGCTGGGACGGTGGCACGCCTTTCTTATATGTAGCCCGAGTCCCGCCCAGCCCTAGGAGACCCGGCGGCCCGCCTTCGCAGACACCTCTTCCGAGGACGCCGGGAACACCGCGGTGGGGGCTCCCACCTGCAGACACCCGCACCTGGACGTGCATTCACTGGGCATGCGCGGAGCCCCACAAGCAGGCCCGGGAAAGGCTGCAGGTGAAGAGAGGTCGCCTGTCACTCTGCCAACGCAGAAGTGGCGACTGAAAGAGCTTACAGCCTTCCTCAGGCAGTCACGCCGGATGAGGAAGCCGAAACACACAGGAAGTTTATTCTGCACGGACGCCCCCCTTCACTCCCCCGGGGTCACAGCCCACTGAATCCAGGTAAACTGAAAATACGGGAAGTCGTTGGGGGTGCTGGTAAAGCGCCGCCTGCGATGCTCGCATCCCATATGGACGCCGGTTCGAGTCCCGGCTGCTCCACTTATGATCCAGCTCTCTGCTATGGCCTGAGAAGGAAGTGCTTGGGCCCCTGTACCCATGCGGGAGACCTGGAAGAAGCTCCTGGCTCCACGGGCATCTTGGCAGTGAACCAGTGGATGGAAGATCTCTCGTGCTCTCTCTCAACTCTTTCAAATAAATAATTTTTTTAAACAGAAAAAACTGTAAGTCGAAAGTGCATTGAGTACACCTAGCCTGCTGAACGCTGTCCCTTAGCCTGGCCTACCCTCACTGAGCTCCGAAAGCCGACATTAGCCAGCAGTTGGGCAAAACCATCCTCCACGAAGCCTGATTTATCATAAAGTGTCCAGTGTCTCATATAATGCACTCAGTGCTATACCGAATGTGAAAAACCATGATTGTATGCGTGTTGTTGCGTCATCATTGTTATTCTAGAAATGATTCAATCACGGTAAAGGTTGGGGGGGTGGGTGTATCATCCTGTTACTTGCTTAGTCTGTCTCCCTCTGCTGGGCTGCCGCCTCCTTAACAGTAGATGCCCTCGGTGAAGTGGGAGGAAGAATGCAGGTGAACATTTCCAATTGCCAGCAGGCCTGGCATCCTGATTGCCGCAAAAGATTAGGGCTTCGGGCTCATGCCCTAAAAGGATGGCTTGAGCTTTCCAAAGCTGCCCCTATTCTTTCTCCTCCAGCAAGAAAGCTTCCAGTTAGGAAGCAATTTACGGATAATCCAGGTGGCCCCTTTCCACCCCAAGCTTCCTTCTTCTGAGCTGAGAAAACTGAACTCCCAAAGGCGCTCCAGGAAACCCCATACAAGTGACAAAGAGCTGGTTAGTGGCAGAACTTGGAACTAGCAATTTCCCTGTTTATCTGACCTTTCCCGTGATGCCTCCTGGTCTCTGGAATGCCCTTTCTCCACGTCTTCCTCCTGCAGGAAGTCCTGCTGATTGTTCAGAGCTCAGCCCACACATCATCCCTTTCAGCAAAGTGGCCTGCTCCCCTCCTGCAGGTCTTTGCTGCCTCCCGCCACACATGTCCTGTGTGCCACCACCTCCGGGTTTATCATGCTGCTTTGGGATTTTGGAGGTTTTTGGAGTTTGTCTCCCCTAACAGGTCTGTGAGTTTCCTGTGAGCAAGGACCAGGAACAATTCAGTCAGAGAACAGTTTGGGGGAACCAATTGGGAAAGAAGGTAAAATAAAACTGGTGCGATCCAGAACCTGGGTCTGCCTCCTAGCGATAAGCCCGATTGCCTCATTCAGGGCTTGTTCAATTCCAGCACCAGGGATAAAATCCTAGGCAAACATCAGGGCTCAATAAATATTTGAGGAATTATATTGTATTGAGTTGAGGCTGATCTAACACAACCTGGATCTTATGACTGTCAGGTGCTTTCAACCATTTATCTCCTCAATCGTATTGTTCTATTTTTCTCATATCAAATTAATGAGGCAGGCCAATGTTTCTGATGAGAACCTGAGGCTCAGAAGCAGATGAGAAACAGGCTCAGGTTAAGGATCTTGTCTGTGGTCATTCATGCTTATGAATCATGCTTTTTTTTCTTTTTCCATCTAATTTCTTCCTTCCTTTGTTTCTTGCTGTCCCCATCCCCTTTCTCCCTCTCCCTTCCTTCCTCCATCCATTCACTCAGTACAGGATAATTCACACTGTCTATTGTGTGTTCAAAACTGTGTGGCTTGTTAGAGCACTTGACACCCAGATTATTAATCCTTAAAGCACCTTGGTCTACCATTACGAATTTTCCACTCTGCTTGCTTTGGAAGAAGCCACATGGTTTCTAGATCCTTATAGGTAAGGAGAATCGATATTTTGACCTGGGTTAGTAATAAGTTCTGTGTTTCTTAACTGATCTACTCCAGTGCAAGGATACTCTGAAAAGCTCATGGAAAATGGAATTTTAAAAGTTTATTTTGGTGCAAAAAATTTTGAAATACAAACATAGGGTTTTTTTTTCATTTTCCAAACTTTTTAAAAAACTACTATATATAATTTTTTAATGGGACTAGGAAGCAGTAGACATTCTTGCTAAAGCCAAATTTTCTTTCTTTCTTTCTCTCTTTCTTTCTTTCTTTCTTTTTTTTTTTTTTTTTGAAAGGCAGAGTTAGACAGTGAGAGAGAGAGAGAGAGAAAGGTCTTCCTTCCGTTGGTTCACCCCCCAAATGGCCAGGAGCCAGGTGCTTCCACCTGGTCTCCCATGCAGATGCAGGGCCCAAGCACTTGGGCCATCCTCCACTGCACTCCCGGGCCACAGCAGAGAGCTGGACTGGAAAAGGAGCAACCAGGACAGAACCAGTGCCCCAACCGGAACTAGAACCTGGAGTGCCTGCGCCGCAGGCGGAAGATTAGCTTAGTGAGCCGCAGCGCCAGCCTGCCAAATTTTCTGACACAGCATCCCTGAGGGGTTTCAGATACGATCATTTCCTTGTGGTTTGTCAGGCCAGTGCACAGACTCATGGCCAAGGGGCCTCCCTAAAGCAGACCACAGCTGCATTAGGTCCTGCAGTAGTTGCTGCTCATTTCCAGTTAGACCTCAGTGAAACTGGCTGTCATGGCCCCAAGGCCCTTTGTGACTTGCACACATGTGTCTTGTTTCCCAGTGGGTGACCATCACCAAAAGCAACACTGCACTGCTATGGCTTCCCTATTTGTAGCGGCAACAGAAATATGGCTATGAACATGATCTCTATCTGGAGTGTTTTCCAAAACCATTAGTTTCCCATGAATCAATGTTCTATGGAAGAGGAAGGAAGATATAGGGAAATGAAGTCATATACTGCAGGCGCTCATTAATTTAAATTCATAACCATGGGCCAGATCCACAGTGGAAAGCCCAGATTCCACAATCACACTGGGACAAAGTAAAAAGCAACCCCTCAGTGGAAATTCATGGCTCTGCTTGTTTCATGCAGTCCATCATCATTTATAGTCAAAGCTTTAAGATTGTTAAGTCAAACAATTATTCATTGATACTATTAATGTTTGCTAAATACTCTATGTGGGTAGAAGTCATATTAAATGCTTCACACACACTTTGCCTACCCAAACAACCTTATAAAAGGTAAGGATTCGGAAACAGGATCACCAAAGGAAAAGAACTTGTCTGAAGTCATGAACAGAAAGAGCAGAGAGCAGACTTAAGCCCAGATCAACCTGGCTCATGTCCTGGGTGTTTGGAACCACTTCCCTAGAGTTCCTCCATCAAAGCCGTTTCTCCTGGACCTATCTCCTCTCTAGGTGGCTCAATAAAAGAGAAACAGGTACTTGTTCCAAGGTCTTGATTTGAAGCTTACATAGTTTATTGACTATACCAGAAGCTAACATATTGAAGCATGGGATTGTAATAGCAGGAAATCACTAGTTACTCATTGAGGTGTTATACCTTTTGTAAACACAATCTTTGTCCTCCCAGAACGTCTACAAGGCATCTTCAAAAAATTCGTAGGAAATGAGTATTGTGATAAAACTGTGTGTGGATTCCAATTTTTTCATCAGAATAAGCTTGTCTTTTAGTTCCATTTCCCATGAACTTTTTGAAGTGCCCTCATATTCATTTTCTTTATGCATTCCATAGGTAGTTCTCAAAAAAGGATTCAGGGTGATTTACGTAACAAAAATCTAAAAACCTACTGCAGCAGAACATGAAGATGGAAAAGGTACGCAATGAGTTAAGTATAGAACCTGAATAAGGGACATGTCAGTACCCGTGACCCTGGAATGGGAAGAGCCAAGTGTGAAGGCTGTTAGTCTCCAGTGAGCGGCTGGTGCTGGAGCCCCGTTACTTCCAAATCCAGCATCCCATAAAGTGCCTAGTTCAAGGCCTGGCTACTGCATGCTTCCAATCCAGCTTCACACTGGAAGGCAGCACTGGATGGCCCAAGTTATTGGGTTCCTGCCACCCACATGGGAGAACTGGATGGAGTTCTTGGCTCCTGGTTTCATCTTGGCTCACCCAAAGCTACTGTAGGCATTTGAGGAGTGAACCAGTGGATGGAAGATCTCTGTCTCTCCCTGTCACTTTGCCTTTCACATAAATAAAAAATCATCTTTTTATTTTTTTAATTTTTTTTTGACAGGCAGAGTGGACAGTGAGAGAGAGAAAGAGACAGGGAGAAAGGTCTTCCTTTACCGTTGGTTCACCCCACAATGGCCGCTGCAGCTGGTGTGCTGCGGCCGGCGCACCACGCTGATCCGAAGCCAGGAGCCAGGTGCTTCTCCTGGTCTCCCATGCGGGTGCAGGGCCCAAGGACTTGGGCCATCCTCCACTGCACTCCCAGGCCACAGCAGAGAGCTAGCCTGGAAAAGGGGCAACCGGGACAGAATCCAGCGCCCCGACTGGGACTAGAACCCGGTGTGCTGGTGCCGCAGGTGGAGGATTAGCCTAGTGAGACACAGCGCCAGCCAAAAATCATCTTTTTAAAAAGAGCCTCTGATAGGAAGGCTTGTGATGGTGCAGTTCATGGTCCACTAGCCTCAGAAAGCCATGGGAGAACTAGTCGGAGTGTGCAGGGCCATGGCAATGGTCATATTCCCTAACACAACAAAACAGAGGCATGGAAAATCAGCAGCAAGAGTGTAGCAACATAAAAACATATTGCTGAAGGAACATTCAGTGAAATCAGCAAAATACAAAACTATACATCCCGGAGCCAGCACTGAGGCATAGCAGGTAAAGCTGCACCCTACAGTGCTGGTGTCCCATATGGTTGCTGGTTCGAGTCCCGACTACTCCTCTTCTGATCCAGCTCTCTGCTATGGCT